GTCCAAGTGATCTCATTGTTCAAATCCCACCTATGAGTGAGAACATGCGGTGTTTGGTTTTCTGTCCTTGTGATAGTTTGCTCAGAATGATGGTTTCCAGCTTCATCCATGTCCCTACAGAGGACATGAACTCATCCTTTTTTATGGCTGCATAGTATTCCATGGTGTATATGTGCCACATGTTTATTGCAGCACTATTCACAATAGCAAAGACTTGGAACCAACCCAAATGTCCATCAATGATAGACTGGATTAAGAACATGCATGGCTAATTTTTAAATTTTTTGTAGATATGAGGGTCTCACTATGTTGCCCAGGCTGGTCATGAACTCCTGGGCTCAAGCAATCCACCCGCCTCTGCCTTCCAAAGTACTGGGATTACAGGCATAAGCCACCAAGCCCAGCTGCTTGCTATTAATATTTTAAATTTAATGTTCTTGTGTCTCTCCCAAGATCGTGAGTTTGCCTGAGGACAAGGACAGTATCTTGCTTATTTCTGCATCTCTTGGACTTCAGAGGAACTTAATAAATATTTATGGACCAGCTTATTGTATATTTTGGCCCCTTTCATACAGGAACAAGGTCTGTTTATTTGCTTTGCTCAATGGGCAACTGGCTGCGGGGGCTGGCTTCGTTTTCAAAATTCTGCTTCTCGTTGGGAAAGGTAGAATAATTGGAGGTGTGGAGATGGGTGAGGTGCACTTTTTACCCTGAATGCTCTGTAGCCCTTGAAATTTTAATAATCAGCATGTGTTTGTGTATTACTTTTATAATAAAACAAGTTCTTGAAATGATGCTGTTCATACGAATATCAGTTGAGGGAAGCAAGATGACCTTTTATTGGTAAGGTTTTTTTCCATGATTTCCTCCAGGGCCTAGACTCAAAAAATCCTTCCAGAAGGCCATCACATCTCTCTCCATTTCGTAAATGTGTCTAACTAGACAACATTCTAAGGGACGGCACATAGATTAGGAATTTTATGTGGGCTGTAATGGGGGATCATTTGTAACCGCCTGGAGTCATTTGCAATATTATTTCAGCTGCGTGTGGATTTCAGTTAGTTTTGAGAATCCCTCCGTCACACCAAGATGTTCATGGAAAACCATTTGATGTATTTTCTCCTCTCATTTTTCCCTGGGAAAGGGGGCGAGAAACCGTGTTTATCCTAGGACCCAAAGGAGGGAAGGGCCACATCCCTCCACCCCTAAAGAAAACGCTTTTATTTGAAATGTCTTTTCCATTTACCCTACTTTGAATAATGGAGTTTTTAAACTCGTTTGTTTTTCTAAATATGAAATTTTCAAAGGAAGGATATTTTTGAGTTCAAAGTGCCTATTTCAAATCTTTAATGGTTCTCTTGGTCTGGCATTCACCAGCAGGTTTTGAAACAGCCTCCCGTGGGTCAATCCGATGGGTAAAAAGACAATTCCAAGCCAACATCGTTGGCACATAATGAAGACTCTCCCCACAAAACCTTTGCTTTTCATTGTGTTCTGCAGAGGCCATCAGGACCATCCCCCTGTCTCCAGGCAGGGTGGTAGGTGGACCTGCGAGAGGTGGAATTTGGTGGGGGCAAGCAGCCCAGACTTGCCCTGAGCCTCCCCTGACCTCCAAGCTCCATCAACTCTGACTTGGGCCTTGCAAAGTGTTTGGACCAGAGGCCAATGCTACCTGGAGCAGGAGGCCACGCAGCAGCCCTCCACCTTGTCCCCAACTGGCCCCAGGCTCCTAGGATTCTTGGACAAATGGCCCAAATTTACCCTGAGCCTTCGGCTGTTGCTCTGGCTCTGAGCTTCTTCGCAACCTGCGCCGTGTAAAACTTGAAGACTCAGAAGAACTTCTGAAATCCAAAGCAAGTCAGGACTTTTCCTCAAAGGTCCTTCTTTCCAATTCCACGTCGTTCTATGCGTGTCTGCTGGCCCCTCCCACCTCCGTGCTGCAGACTGGAACTCTGGTCAGGTTGTCAGTTTCAAGTTACGCCAGTGTTTCTCCACAGGGTGCTCCTCGACTGGCATTTGGGGTGGGCAGTTCTGTGTCCTGTGTGGTGTGCGTCATTTAGCAGCCCTGGCCAGCCTGGCAGATTCCACCGTGACAACCAAGAGCACACTCTCAGCCCTGGCGCTGGAGTGGGGTGCAGTGCACCCTCAGCCTTTGGGGAGTGGGGACAGTACTGACCTCAGCATGGTGGGGAGCAGTACCACCTTCAGCAGAGGGCGGGGCAGTACCACCCCCTGTTGAGGACCACCAGACCCCCAGGTTCTTAGCTATACCCTGGAGGGCAGGAGCCTCTCCTCTTCCGTCCTGGATCCCCAGCACCCAGAGTGGTTAGTCCCAGCCTCATAGTAGGACATCAGTAAATAGTTGCCCAGTGAATGAATAAGATCTATGAACAGTCTTCAAAAGGGCCTGTGAACCCGATAAAAGTGTGCCCTAAATGTATTCGCTGCAGCAAGAAACCATAACATCCCTCAGATTCTCCAAGGCAACAGTGGGACATCCTCAAAGGGACATTCAGAAAACTGGCCCAGCCAGTGGCCACCACTGGCCTGATGTTTCTGTGGCTGCAAACGTCACTGCACCGTGTGTGTGCGGTGACTTTTAGAGCTACCACTCTGCGCCAATATTCTAATCTCCCTGCAGAAGGGAACGTCCTGAACACGCCAGGGACTCTGCTTCCGTGAGAGGGCATCGGGTGCCTAACGCAGGGGCTGCATTCAGCCCTTTAACAAGAAATGACCTGAGGCCTGGGCCCTTTCACTCCCTTACGGGAGAGTAGGGGGGAAAAAGGGTAGGAACAAGATATATTTCCCCCAGACTCGAGTGTCTCTTGGGTGACCTTCCCAGTAAAAGTCAAAGAACTCGGAGACATCACTTAGCTTCCTGCAAACCTGAGCTCACACAGCAGCTCGGCTGAACGGAATCAGGGAGCCCCGTGGCCTGCCTCCTTCCTGAGAGTGCATTGTTGGCGCAGCTGTTTTAATAAAAGACAGTCTATGCCCTGAAGCAGGAAGAACTGTTGGGCCAAACCTGTGGCTGAGCAGACGGCCCAAGCTCAGACGCACCTGCAGACCTGTGCAAAGGTGCGAGCTCACCTCGCAGTCCTGCGGAATTCTGCTTGACCTCAGGGCAGGGGACTCCGAGTGAGGTCAGGGTGTTGATGTAAGGATGGCTCATTCCTGCCGCTTTCCCAGCATCCTCCTGCTGGTCCTGGGATGTTCCTGTCCCAGCAAGAGAAGCTACGGCATCCAGAAAGAACAATTGGCCCAGAGAAGGGACAAAACCAAGGGCTGGAAGCACCACAACCCAAGAGTTAACCTCTAAAGCAGCAAAGCAATTGCCAAGAAATCTCTGGTATCATTTGCCCCAGAGGGATCATACGATTTGCAGAAGCTTTCAGCATATAGGCTAGATTAGTCATGACCTCAGATAACTCCCTCGAGGGAAGATGGAAACTCAAGGAACCCCTGCTAGTCCAGAGCAGGCTTCTCGAACATCAGTGCGCCTAAAACAAAATTCCCCGGAGAGCTTGTTACATCACAGATGCCCAGCTCCCAACTCCAGAGTCACTTCAGCAGGGGCATCTCTAGCGAGTGCCTGGGTGACGCTGATGCTGCCAGCCTGGGGACCACGCTTTGACAGCCACTGGTCCCCAGCAGGGGTTTTTGCACTGTGCTCCATTGCGCCCCCTTGAGGGGAACAGAGAGGATGGGAAGAACCAGGAAAGGGGATTCAGCCCGGACCCTCCCACCTGCATTCGGGACACCTCTGGGTCTGTCTTCCAAGTCTGGCTTCTGTGATTAAATAAAGAACCTCTGACAAAAAGGAGAGGTGGGCCCAGGCCTGCACATGGGATGCCCCCAAGAACCAAGCCTCCCTCCTGCTCATTCAGTGTGTCTGGGGCAGGAGGCTCAAACATTCAAACAAAAGCCCAGATAACAAGCTAAGTGAGCAGAGTCATGAGTTAGCCGCACTTCCAGTGCAGGCACCGTCTCAGGGCAGCGGAGTAGCCCTTCGCCCTCGGGCAACCCTGGCCTCCGTGGTGGTCTCGTGCCAGGCTCTCTGCAGTGGGAGGGACTACCCTGTCTGTGGCAAGCTCGCCCCAGGGCGAGGCAGCAGCCGTGTCCAGAAGAGTGTACCCAGTGCTGTCGGGAGGCACCCTGCATCCGCCTGGTCCCCAGAACCATCAGAGCCTCAGCACAGCCACCTCACCCTCCACAAACCAACCTCGACAGAGATAACCCGTGGCCTCCTGGAGCTCGGAGACAGAGCACGGCCCCTGCAGCCCAAGTCTCAGGGTTCGGCTCTTGCCTTCACCACTTCCCAGCTGAGAGACCTGGGGCCGGTCAACCTGTGTAAACCTCAGTGTCCTCGTCTGTAAAATGGGGATAATTCTAGTATAATACTTGAGCATTAAATGCAGTTCACCGCCTGACATGGCGTGAGCCCTCAGGAGTTTTGGCCAGTCGTCACTGAGTGTTTTGTTTTCACATTATTTTCGTGTTTCTGATGAAGCAGGAGTGTGCCGCCTGTGTCAGTTTCTAGGGTGCCCTAACAAACCACCACAAACGGAGGGACTTAAAACAACAGGTATTGCCACACATTCCTGGAGGCCAGAAGTCTCAAATGAAGGTGTTGGCAGGTGCCAGCCTCACTCTGAAGGCTCGGGGTGTGTCTTGGTTTGGAGACACATCACTCCAGGTTCTGCCTGTCTGTCTCTGTGTCTTCTTCTCATAAGGATGCTGATTTTATAGGGTCAGGGCCCCACCCTGAGTATGACTTTATCTTCATTTGATTATATATGAAAAGACTATTTCCAAATAAGGTAACAATCACAGGTATCGGGAGTAGGGCTTCCACATATTACTGGGGAGGACACACTTCAGCCCACGACCCTGCTGGACTGGAGCGGGGCCTCAGGGCAGCAGCCACAAGGATCTTCCGTGTGAAGTGTGGGCTTCCCGAGACTGTGCTAAATCTCCCAAATGGTTGTGTTTTCCAGGGTGTTCAGACTTACATCTCTTGGATATGTTGACCCCAACTGAAAGAAAGCGACAAGGATACATCCACGAGCTCATTGTCACAGAGGAGAACTACGTGAACGACCTGCAGCTGGTCACAGAGGTAAGGGAGCTGGTGGGGCAGGGGTTGCGGCAAGGAGCGAGGAGGGAGGGAGTGGGGAGGGTTCTGCCGAGGAGGTCTGCGTTCTGTTCTGAGCTCAAGACACTTTCTGATGTTTGGGGAGCATCCGGACGGCAAATGCTATAGGAGATTCTGACCATAGAGACAGTTTGTTGCTTATCTATGGCCAACATTGAGTCATACCCATACAGGGACAGAGATCACTTAGCCAAGGTCTAGTGAGTCCCTGAGCAGTTGATGGATGAAGTCATGTGGACTGAGAGCTGGAGTCCGCGCTTTACTCAGAGTGGCTGCAGCTCAGCCACCAACCAGGGGGTGCCATGGAGCCAGCCACGCTGCCCTCCTGGCCCGCAGTGTTGCATCTGGAAATGGGGGCCAACTAGCTGCTATCTCGAGTCATTCCTGCCACATATTACCCCGAGACAAACCTGTCACTGAGAATGGCAACGTTTCCTCCCAGGCCCTTACAAAACCCCCTGACCTGAGGTGATGCCTCCTCTTCTTGTCAGTCCTCCCAGAAGGACCCCGGCCACCCCAGCCGGAACTATGGGGAGACGCAGAGCCAGGCGCTCCTGCTGCTCAGCAGGCCTTTTTCCCCACATCCATGGGAAGGTGGCGGAGTCAGGTGCTCCTGCTGCTCAGCAGGCCTTTTTCCCCACATCAATGGGAAGGTGCCATGTTAGGAGACAGGGATTTGCAGAGATGGACCTGCAGTTTGGAAAGTGCTGTGATAGTCTGGAAACCACCACCACCACCACACCAAATGGGTGTGAAACCATCTTGTCTGATAGTCTTCACATCCAGGAAAGACACAGCAGGGCCGGCCGCTGTTGGAGGAGTACAGGGTGAGTTGCTGGCCGCAGGACCACCGTTAACACTTAGGAAGCATTGATGCAAATTCAAAAAGGTACCCTTTTCTCAAGGTGTTTGACTGTTATTAAATATACAGTTCAGGATGTCCAGGGTGCAAGTGTCACCTGTTAGATACGGCTCCTTTGTGCACTCTGCAAAACGCACCACCATATGTGGCTGCCCTGGCACATGCCAGGTTCAACGCCGGCTTAAGGACTCCTGTGGAATAGGGCTCCCAGGGAGCAGCCGCAGCCCAGCTGAGTTTATGTCGAAGATGGGCTGTCCCCCTCCCTAAAGAGCCTTCCGAAGTGCCTCCTGCCTCCCGTGGGAGAAAATGACCTCCTTGCAGGCGGGGGCTCTACCACACGGGGTTCCACTGAGATCTGTGATTTACTACGAGTTGCCCAACCACACAGAGCGTGGAGGGGGCTCACTCATTTTCCAGAGCCCAAGAGAAGGGCGGCACCCACCCCTTGTAGTGGGCCTGCAAGTACTGGGTCTGTCCAGGGTCAGCCCAGGAGGCTGAGGACACAGCAATGGAGTCAGTCACCGAGGTGGCCACTGGCTTATTAGAGGACCTGCCGCCTGGGCTGCTCCTCTCAGAATGCCCTCGGCTTACCTGTGCAGATGAAGGGACTGCCCATAGCCACCGGCATCTTTAAGCCCTGCTTTTCACACCGGCCCACCCCCTCCCACTGGGCAGGTGAGACTGCCTAGCCTGAGTGCATGACTTGGTACCGGCCTCCCTGCTTGTCTGGTGGAGTTAAGACCTGTCTCCTGGAGACTTGAGCTGGCCTCCTTCCCCTGTAAAACAGTGCAGGCCCTGCGGGGGACCCCCTCCAGCCTCCAGGGCAGAGGAGGGGCCCTCTGCTTCAAAAACCGCAGGAAAGCGGGCGTTCACCTCTGGGCCTCTCAGCCAAGGCACAGACACCTGAGCCCTCTCCCTGCTCTCAGCGGATCGGTGTGTGCGTGTGTGAGTTTTAAGCTAACTGCTTTCTGAACTGCTTCGTTTTCTGCATCTGTAGATCTTTCAAAAACCCCTGATGGAGTCTGAGCTGCTGACAGAGAAAGAGGTTGCTATGATTTTTGTGAACTGGAAGGAGCTGATTATGTGTAATATCAAACTACTGAAGTAAGCCTCTCCTCTAATCCCCAGCCTGGCTTCACCTCCTCGGCTCTCACGCACTAGCACCTCTGTGGGTCTGTGTGTCCTTCCTGCATGCTGCCCTGTGTTTCTTTCTGGCTTTTTTTTTTTTTTTTTTTGCTCATTGCCACTCACAAGCACCATCACCCTTTTGTGCCTTCATGCTTTCTGGAAACGCACTCCGAATCTCTCATTGTGAGAGTAGGTCGCCTGGGCACCCCAGAGCCTGCTGTTGGGTGAATGACTGCGGTGGTGAATTTCCAGGGCTAGGACGAGGCTGGCTCCTGATGGCGCTGGCTCCATCCTGGGGCGTGGGGCTGCCCGCTCCATGCTTTCCCTCGGACGCAGGATCCCATGGGGGATTATTGGTCTTTTGAGGCATTCTTGGCCCTGCAGATGGAAAAGTGTGGAACTGTTCACTGCCTGATGCCAGCAGTTCCTCAGGATCACTCCGGGAAGCTGGCCCAAGGCTGCTTGTATTTTCTTCCAACTTTAGTTTACAGAGGCAGCTCCAGGGCCAGGAGTCAAGAGACCTGGGTTTAGATTCTGACTTACTCACTGCCTTTCCTTTTTGAGCCTTAGTTTCCCCATCTGTAAAATGAAGGGGTTGGATTCGATCATCACAAACGTCTCTTCCAATTCTTAGAAAAAAAAAAGTCAAAACCCAAAATCTGTATCCACCACGCTCTCACTGTAACATCACTTGCTAGAACACAGATTAAGTCACAGCCTCCAGGACGCGTGATACTCCCTGCTGGGAGGAAGGGCCACCCACTTCCTGGGCCCGAGGATGGAGGGCAGGCTCCCAGAACCTTGCGTCCATTCCTGATCTTCATCTGTGTCCTTGAGAAGCCACCGTTTCCTAAACGTGGTCTCTGCATTGTTCTTATAAAGTAATTTCAGGTCCCCACTTTCCTGAGCGTGTGTTTGGGAGTGGATGAAGGGATGGAGAGGAGGTGTGGAGAGGTGGACACAAAGAAACATATATAATGTCTGCTGGTTGGTGCTCTAGAAGACGAATAATCCAAGGTGACATCAGGCAGGCTTGTAGAGAAGGTCTGGACTTCACTGGCCCCCACGCCGATGCTGTGGAAACCTTTCGAACTTCGGTCTGGTGTCAGTTTCGAACTTAGGTCTGGCGTCAGACCCCTGGGCTCACATCCGCTATTGCCTCTGGCTGTGTGTCGTCCGGCAGGTCACTTTGGTCCCTGGGCCTCAGTATTCTCATTTACATAGATGATAGCTGGGCACGGTGGCTCACGCCTGTAATCCCAGTGCTTTGGGAGGCCGAGATGTGTGGATCACTTGAAGTCAGGAGTTTGAGACCAGCCTTGGCAACATGGTGCAACCCCATCTGTACTAAAAATACAAAAATTAGCTGGGTGTGGTTACGGGCGCCTGTAGTCCCAGCTACTAGGGAGGCTGAGGCAGAAGAATCGCTTGAACCCGGGAGACGGAGGTTGGAGTGATCCAAGATCACACCACTGCCCTCCAGCCTGGGCCACGGGGTGAAACCCTGTCTCATAAAAAGAAAAAAAGAAAAGAAAATATACCTGTAAGTTAAAACCTTTTTCCTTGGGCAGCTATCAGTAGGGGCTGGGGGAGGCGGGAGAGGTGTCTGAGGTTCCCAAGCAGCCCTTAGAGAGGGCTTCCTGCGCTTCAGGGTTGGCCTGAGGGAAACTGGTGTTGGCCTCAGTTCCCAATACCTCTCTGTTGTCTTTTAAGTCCTGTCTGGGAAGCAGCAGCCTCTTTCTTGAGCTGTGTGGGGGCCGGGCCTGCGTGCTTCTTCCTCCTGTCGGCTCTGACTTGCTCCACAGCAATGGGGGTGGGAACTGACAGCCCTGTTACAGCTGAAGCAGCGAAGCTCAGAGAGGCTGAGTGACTTCCCTAAAGTCACACAGCAGGGTGGCTGCTCTGTGGATGATGCCTAGGTCCCAGAATAGAGACTCTGCCCAGTCCTGCCCCCGTGGAAAAAAACTTGGACCCAGAAGTCAGACATCCCAAGTTTTTGTCTGGGCTCCAGCCCCTCATAACTTGTTTTGGGCATTAAGATGGCAGTCATGGTGCTTGTCCTGCCTACCACGCAGGGTCATTCTGAGAGCAAGAGATCGGGTGTCCCAGGGGCACGCCGTCGATCAGGGCGCTGATGTGTACGGGGCTGCCGGCTCCCCTCCACCCCAAGGTTCTCTATCCCCGTTCCTCTGATTCCTGGATTAGCTAGTTTGAACTAACTGGCTCATGTCTTCATCCTCCAGATAAAATCTTGCATTTAACTGGAGCTTTCTGGGGACCTGATTTCTTTTTCTTCTTTTCTACGTTTTACTAGAAACAATCTCAAACATACAGAAAATTTGAAAGAATTGTAGAGTGAACATCCACATCATAAACTGGACAATGAATTTTGTGCTGTATTTGCATGGCTGCACAGACATAATGTCTTCATGCCGAGGAATAACTGTGATGAGGGGAGATCGAGGCTCCTGGCAGCCGAGAGAGGGAGGCATTTGAGGATAAGGAGAAGTTAAGGCAGCAATCCCTGGACTGCGACCAGTGAGCAGCCATATATCTGCTACTGCTGATCCTACACGCCTTGTATTTGGGGTGGGGCAGGGGGCATGGCAGTTATCAAAAGAGTCAACAATAAATAAATAATGTGAAAATAGAAAGGGCTAACTGGGACACATGGACTTCCTACTAGTGATGCTTCACTGAGGGTTACAGCGAAAGGCTGGCGCTCTCGCAAGGAAGCTGAGACCTCAGACATGTGCCTTTCATAGACAAGGTAGGATACACAGGTCTAGAACCTTTTTATATCCAGAGTCTGGAGCAGGGCCCTCAGGACAGCTGTCAGAAATGATAGCAGAAGGGCCGGGCATGGTGGCTAATGCCTGTCTGTAATCCCACACTTTGGGAGGCTGAGGCAGGCAGATCACTGGAGGTCAGGAGTTCGAGACCAGCCTGGCCAACATGGTGAAACCTCATCTCTACTTAAAAAAAAAAAAAAAATTAGCTGGGCGTGGTGGCACATGCCTATAACACAAACTACTCAGGAATCTGAGGCAGGAGAATTGCTCGAACCTGAGGAGGGAGCAGAGGTTGCAGTAAACCAAGATTGCACCACTGCACTCCAGCCTGGGCAACAGAGTGAGACTGTGTCACACACGCACACACAAAAAGAAATGATAGCAGAAGGGAAGCAGAAGTGAGGTGGGGTGACCAGCCCAGGTTTGGGGAACTGGTTTTTATCAAGAGCCTTTCCTGTCCCCTTGATGGAAAAAGAAAAAAGAAAAGAAAAGAAAAAAAAAAACTAGTCTCAAAAAAGTGTTTTTCTTAAATATTTGACTCATCTTCCTTTTAACTTAAGAAGAATGGATTCCATTTTATCTTGTTTAAGCAGAAAATGGAGGAAAAATAGAAAATAAAAATCAGTTTGGGGTAAAGACAGATGGTGAGAAAGAAGAAAAGGATGTGGGGCTGGGAGAAGGAGAAGAGGGAAGGAGAGAGGGCATGGAGCGGATGGTGGGAAGTCCAGCAGGGTGAGAAGTACAGAGGCCAAGGCTGGGACCAGCAGGGAAAGGCCCGAGGGCGAGATGGCGGGAGCAGGGCAGCCGCATCTGGGAAGATGGGCAGGTGCCCAGAGCAGCTTGGAGGCGGTCGTGGCAGGAGGTGGGTCAGGGCCTCTGAGGCTGTGGTTCCAACCATGGGCTCTGGAGTCAGACCTGGGTTCCAGGGTTACCTCTGTCACCTATTAGCTCTGTGACGTTAGTCAAGTCACTCAATTTCTGTGTGCCTCAGTTTCCCCAATAGGAAAGGGGATAATAATATATGTAAAACTGTGTTTGACACATAGGAAGCATTAATAAATGCTAACTTCATGACTGTCCGCTTGGGCTGCAGACTTCAGAGGGTTAGGGACACTCGTGTTCAGCAAACATTGAGCGCTCTTTGAATCGTTCATTAGCCTGTCAACTGCCTTTTGTAGTTCAAGCCCTCTCATCTGTAAACCTTTCTAGGAGACTGCCAATCAGCTCACCACAAGCAGCGCCAGTGGCCCCTCTCAGGGCTGTGGCTGCAGCAGCTGAGTCACATGATCCCTGGGCCTGGTAATACCCTGCAGTCCTCATAAGTCTTTGCCTATACAGTAGACCATCCTGGATGAAGACCCAAGACTGAATCTAATAGGTGCCTAGTCCATAGTAAATCAGGCCTAATTTTAGGGCTGTCTGCTGGTTGGGTAACTCCAGTCTACAAGTGTGGGTCTGCAGAACCCAGGAACTAAGTCCTCAAGACAATCACTGTCTGCAGATGATCTTTCTTCTTTTCTTTTTTTTCTTGTCTCCTTCATCCTTTAAGAAAACATAGGCCAGGGGCTGGGCACGGTGGCTCATGCCTGTAATCCCAGCACTTTGGGAGGCCAAGGTGGGCGGATTGCTTGAGGTCAGGAGTTCGAGACCAGCCTGGCCAACATGGCGAAACCCCGTCTCTACTAAAAATATAAAAATTAGCCAGGTGTGGTGGCGGGTGCCTGTAGTCCCAGCCACTCAGGAGGCTGAGGCGGAGGTTGCAGTGAGCTGGGATTGTACCACTGCACTCCAGCCTGGGCTACAGAGTGAGACTCTGTCTCAAACAAAACAGGAGAAGGAAAGGGTGAAAGTACTTTTTATTCTCTTGTTAAAAAAAACATTTCCTCATAGGAAAATGATGGAATGATGGAATTTCTTCCTGTTTCCATTCCTGGCAAGTTTGTAACATGGCTATTCAGGGCTCTCATTCCCCCAAATTATTGGTGACATCACCCTTGAGCACATTTCTGCACGTTGCGTTATTTCACACCAACCTCTCAATGGGACAGTGGCCTTTGGGCCATCCTGAGGACAGCAAGCTGCCACTGCTCCCCACACCCCAGGCAGCCAGTGCTGATCTCCCCGTGAGGGCATCCACTTCAGGTGGAATCGCTGACTGCTCACACCACATCATTTATGGTCCCTAAGTTTGTCTCCTTGGCTTGCTGGGTCCAAGGGATTTTATTTTAGCTGAAAATGTGGGAGAAAGAAAAGAAAGTGATCTGAAGTTTTTAAAGCCTAATATAAATATTGCAGAGCTTCCTTGGAATTCAGTAGCCCACCCCATACCTCAAAGGCTTCTCCAACATGACCATGAAAGCAGCCAAAGGCATTCAGTAGGGACATCCTCCCAGCCTTGTGTTAAAGTCTTAGGTTATAACATTTTGTTCCGTCTACCCATCCATCCACCCATGATCACTCACTAGGATAGCTGAACACACCCATGGCTTCAGGTTGTGGTCCTGCCTGTAGTACATTGCTGTCCTTACCGTGTATAAGCTCAGTGCTGTGCCCTTCTTCCAGATGCTGGTGTTAAGGGTTCACATGTTGAAGTTGGGAGAACGGAAGCACTGTCCTAGTTACCATAGCTCTGAGCACTCACACTGCAGGCAGACCCCGGAACAAACACTGCCCAGTCCCATCAACACCTTTCCTGGATTCCAGGAGATACATGTTTTGGGTTCACTGGCCCATTATCATAGCAATAGACCTCTTTTCTGAACTCCTCTTAATTTAGTTAACTTAGCTCTAGCAATGAAGCAGCAAATCGCAGGGATAGTTCAAACAGTCATTTATGCCTGGCTTTTGCTGAATCTCATGGGGTTATTTTGCCAAGGCAGTTCTTTTGCCATCTTAATTATGTTCTTTTTAGTCCAAAAATCAACCTCCCCCATCCTCTGGCAATAGCAGCTTCCCTTGGGCAGAAGTGTCTCCTGGAAATAGGATCAGTGCTCAGGCCACATCAGCCTGGGGCTTTCACCACCGATAATCGGTGTAGTGAGGCATCAACACAGGGGACCCGTTTGAGTTGTTCAAGAAAAATCTCCGTATTTCTGCACAAGAAAAACAAATTGTAACAAACAGCCACTCTGCCAAAGAGAAATGCCCTGGTGCTACCTCTCTGTAGCCCTAGACTCATTTCTTTCTCCATTCCTTGTCTCCCAAATAGATCCTTTAGTGGCCCTTGAGTCTGTGCCCCTCATACACATTCTGTTTCTGTGCAACCTAGAAGTGTGCCGTGGTGCTGTCAGACAGTGTGAAGGCGGGGGGCTCACCTCCTGTGTTTCCGTGCAGAGCGCTGAGAGTCCGTAAGAAGATGTCCGGGGAGAAGATGCCCGTGAAGATGATTGGTGACATCTTGAGCGCCCAGCTGCCGCACATGCAACCCTACATCCGCTTCTGCAGCCGCCAGCTCAACGGGGCTGCCCTGATCCAGCAGAAGACAGACGAGGCCCCAGACTTCAAGGAGTTCGTCAAAGTAAGGAACCAGGCTGTGCAGAGACTGGGCCCCAGAGTGGCGATCTCTGGGCAGCTAGACGTGGGAGGGGCTAATTCAAAAGTCTGCAAGCGTGTTCCCTCTAGAGGCCAACAGGGCCTGGGGTCTTGGCTAAGCCTTAGGGGACTGGCACTCACTGGCAAGTATGGTTGTCACCAAAGGGGTGGGCTTGTAGAGGAGGGGCGAGCCCTGGGTTTGGAAACTTTGAAGTGTCTTCAAGGATCTGTTTTCCAGATGCTAGTGGTGTTATTTGGATGCCTGTTTAAATCTTTCATTTCATTTGCAAGGCCCAGGCAGGTCTCAGATTTCCTCTTGTGTTTAATCGCCACATCCTCAGTTCTTTGCCAGTCTCTGCCCCTCACTTGCAGAGGGAATGGCCAGGACTCCCAGTGGCCCCTTCATTCTTTTTGCAGTTGGTTCTGCTTGATGGCGTCCAGCCCTAGGCAGCCCGTGGGAGTCAGTGTGGGATGCCAGGACCTCTTCCTTGGGGGTAGCAGGGGTCTGGAGAGTTGGGTGTCCACTGGGGGATGTTTGGGGAGGTAATGCGGATGCTGCTGGAAGACCTGCAGCTCTGGGACTTGGCCTTGGTCAGGGTGGGTCTCTGCTGGTCATGCTGGTCCATTCAAACAGCCCCCACCTCTCCTGGAGAAAAACAGGAGGAAAAGAATAAAATAGCTTCTATGAAACAGGTATCTTTCGATGGATAAACAGCAAAATAATAATAACAGGCATATCTTTGGATCTCATGCGTTTTGGGGACAGGCCGTCCTCACCTGCCCTAGAGCGGTGCTTGTGGACTCACTGTGGTGAGGCATAAGCGCTGCCTCTTCTTGGTCAGAGCCTTGTGTGAGCTGCTTGTTTCTGCCTCCCGTGGTGTTTCTCAGCCTAGACTTGCCAGCCAAGGCAGGGGGCACTCTGAGGTCATTCCAAGGGGAGGAAGATTGCTCAGAAGAAGGCCTTGGGTGGATGGAAACAAGAGAGCAGACGCTGAGCTGCTGGGCGCCATGGATCACCTGGGGTTTCAGCCAAGGGCTGGGCTCTTCCTGGGCCCGAGCAAGATGAGTTCATTGTTGGATGCACTTGAACTTCAGGGAAGTGCTGACACCAGTCCAGGGCAGGGGTCTCATTGTCCCTCCCCACCTCATCTCAGCGGGAGTGTGGCATGTGGTTGCCAGTTGCAAGGTGTTCCTGGAGTGATGGTGTCCACAGCTGGAGCAGGTCCCATTGCTGACAGTTATCAGGACTCCGGACTCCAGTCAATGCAGCTGCCTGTTTCTAAGGCATTTAACTGGACCACAGCCATTGACAGCTAAGGGGCCAGACCCTGAAACTGGAGTCTTGACATCTGGTGTCTCAGCTCCTCTCTCTCAGCCCTGCCTGGAGCTCCCAGAGGCACGTGCAGGCTCCACCCAAAACTAGACAATGAGATTTAGCCCTTCCAGCAGCTCTAGGGTGTGAGGGGAATTCTTCCTCTAACCGTATAGTCTTGTGACTCTTGTTCCTGGGAATGTTATAAAGTTTTTGCAGACATCCAGACAAAATATTCTCTGTAAAGCCAGAATCTCATCTCTGTGCATAAGGAACTATGCATGCCATGGAAGGTATGCTGAATCTGGAGTGCAGGGCTTAACCCTGCTGGCTGAGTCACGTCTGTGGGTCTCCATTCTCCATCTGGAAAGTGTGTCATCCTGGACAGGGTAACTAGTCAGGCCCTTCCAACCCCAGGTCTCTCAGTTGTCATCCAGATGAATGAGATAATGGGTGGAGAGTCCTCGCTGTCGTTAGTATTGTTGTCACTAACTTTGGATTTTGCAAGTTTCTTAAGTACGTTTAAAAACATCTCTTATTTCAGAGATTGGCAATGGATCCTCGGTGTAAAGGGATGCCACTCTCTAGTTTTATACTGAAGCCTATGCAACGGGTAACAAGATACCCACTGATCATTAAAAATGTAAGTACCTGACTTGCCTTTTCAAGCAGGGGAATGCTTTCTCTGCATTGGAGGGGGCTGGGGTCATGGACAAGTTTCCCAGCGAACACACCTGGTAGCTATTGTGTAGAAAGCACAAGACAATAAGGTGTCAGAGAGGTCTGCTTGGTAACTCAGAAAGAAAAGCTGGTTTATCATGCAAAGAGCTGGCCAGGCACGGTGGCCCACACCTGTAATCCCAGCACTTTGGGAGGCCGACGCGGGCAGATCGCTTGAGCCCAGGAGTTCAAGCCCAGCCTGGGCAGCATAATGAGACCCTATTTCTATTTTTTAAAAAATGAGAGCTAATACTGCACAGCCTTCAGATGTGTGACCAAGTGGCTTCTACCTTGTAAATCAGAAAATGAGAGCTTAGTCCTTGATTTTTTTTTTTTTTTTAATTTTTTTCTCTAGAAGAAAATAACATGGAATCACAGAAACAGTCTGTGGTCTGTGCCTTTCTCCCTTGATTCTTTCTTAAAGACAGGCCCAGTGCCTCTAGGCCTTGATTTTCTTAGCAGAAAAGAGAAAGAAACATAATGCTACGATCTGTCTTCAGAAGGCCATTGTGAGACACTGTATTAGTCCATTCTCACACTGCTATAAAGGACTGCCCAAGACTGGGTAATTAATAAGGAAAGAGGTTTAATTGACTCAGTTCCACATGGCTGGGGAGGCTTCAGGAAACTTACAATCATGGTGGAAGGGGAAGCAAACACATCCTTCTTCACGTGATGGCAGGAAGGAGAAGAATGGGAGCCCAGCGAAGGGGAAACCCCTTATAAAACCATCAGATCTTGTGAGAACTCACTCATTATCATGAGAACAGGATGGGGGAAGCCACCCCAGCGATTCAATTATCTCCACCTGGTCTCTCCCACAACATGTGGGAATTATGGGAACTATGATTCAAGATGAGATTTGGGTGGAGACACAACCAAACCATATCAGACACTGTGTGTTGATATTAGATGATTGTTATTCTCCTGTCACTTTAAGAAAGCCAATACCAAAAGAAAAAAAAAGAACAAAATTAGGATTTCAGTGTCCCCACCTGTAAAACGGCTTTAGATGTCCTCTGAGCCTATGTTTGTAAAACCACACAGAGTATAGCTCCTGGAAAGAGGTTTTAGATCTGGTTCCTTTTCATGGAAAATGATATTTAGACATTCAGATGTGGGCACTGGTGTGCTCATTGCTACTGGGGTGATTTTGCTTTGTGTTCCTCTCAGTGGCAGAGCTGGGAAATATATGAATGTCTTTTCATGCACACATATTTACATATGCAATGTATATGCACATATATTTATATTTATTTCTAGATCCATCTATCCATGTATATTAGAACTCATGAATTCACACCAATACCTCCTATTCTAATCCAATACTGCAGAATTTATTCCAGCCTTTCCCCTTATGCATTTGTAACTCCCTACTCTGTGAAGAGCCTGGCTCTCATTATCCTCAATATGTTTCCTTATTTGCTCAGTCTTCTTACATGTGACAAATCTCCCTCCCACATAAGCCATCTCCTCAGTTCAGCCCCAGCTCAACTCCACAAAATACACTGTAGATCTTTGGCTGAGTTAAATAATTAGCTTTGAAATAAGCTTTCAACCTACTGTTTTCTCTCTTCCAATGCCACAGTTACTATTTAATTAGCTCAGTACTTCTCTTTTTTCTCCCAGTGTTTAACTGCAAACTGAAGTTGAAAACAAGTTTTTAAAATAGGTGTTCTAGATCTAACCAATGGGAAAAAAACTAAAACAAGAAAAGGACTGAACGGCACAAATATTAAAAAGGGAAAAAACCAAACTCATTATTTGCAGAAACACAATTGAAAATCTTCTAGAGCACCCAGAAGAATGAACTGAAAACCAGCTGAACTAAGAAGAGAACTGAAAACCGTGGTCAGCTATGAGCTATGAGATACGTATGAAATACACTAAAGTACTAAGGCTAAATAATTTTATGATACTGATGTGGAGAAATTCTTAGCATGGTCTCAAAGACAGAAACTTAAAGGATTTAGATCATAGCAACCTAAAAAATACCCAAACTTTCACCTGGGCATGGTGGCTCACGCCTGTAATCCCAGCATTTTGGGAGACCGAGATGGGTGGATCACTTGAGGTCAGGAGTTCAAGACTAGCCTGGCCAACAGGATGAGACCCTGTCTCTACTAAAACCACAGAAAAAATTAGCTTGGAGTGATGGCATGTCAGGTTTGAGTCCCAGCTGAGGTCTGAGGGGAGTGGGTAGATGTGGGTCAGGGAGCTGAAAGAACACTTGAGAGGCAGCAGGTAGATGGGACATGGCTTTATTCAGCAGCTCTTTCATACTGTCGGTGTTGCCCTTATATACATCACACAGAATAGTGGCTTAGAGCCAGGTGATGAGCCTCCCATGTTATGGCTACATAGCTGTGATTATATAATGCATGGAATTGTGCACCTGCGCTCTAATCCTGCTGAGTCATGCAGGATGTTTACATCTGCCTATGCCTGCCTGGCTGCAGCACAGCCATGTTCCTTACATGATGCATACCTGTAATCCGAGCTGCTCAGGAGGCTGAGGCAGGAGAATATCTTGAACCTGGGAGGCAGAGGTTGCAGTGAACCAAGATTGCACCACAGCACTCCAGCCTGGGTGACAGAGTGGGACTCTGTCTCAAAAAATAAAAAAACAAAAAACAAAAAGCAAAAACCCAAATTTTATTCCAGGGAACAACCCATATGTTCATTAATAGGAATGGTTAAATAATTATGGTAGATCTGTACTATGAAAATATTTTAAAAGATACAGGGCAACTTCTACTTTATGTATTAGCGTGGAAAGACACTGAGAAAACGCTGTTATGTGAAAAAGCAACACTAAACTCACTAAGCAATCCTACAGTATGATGCATTTTTCCAAAAGAGGGGAAAAACTTTACATGCAACTATTAAATATATAAAGGGCATCTAAAGGAGTGCCCTTCAGTCTCTTAGCAGTGGTTACCTCTGGGGTAGGAGAGTGAAGGAAATTTTTACATTTAATGTACATATTTCTGTAATGGTTGAATCTTGCATACCAAGAATGTGCTAATGTGTTATTTACATAAAATTTTTTCTTAAAAAGTTCTCACCACAAAATATAATGAGCAAAGTTTAAAGACAAATGACAGACTGGGTATGGTGGCATATGCCTGTAATCCCAGCACTTTGGGAGACCAAGGTGTGGGAGGATCGCTTGAGGACAGGAGTTCAAGACCAGCCTGGGAAACATAGTGAGACCCCCCATCTCTACAAAAATTTTTAAAAACTCAGCCAGGCACGGTGGCATATATGTGTAGTCCTAGCTACTCCAGAGGCTGAGGCAGGAAGATCCTTGAGCCCAGGAGTTTGGGGCTGCAGTGAGTTGTGATCACACCACTGGGTGTGATAGGAAAAAAACCTGGGTGATAGAAAAAAAAAAAAAGAAAATGAAAAGACAAATGACAGACATAAACTGGTTAAACATATTTTTAGCTGTACATACATAGGTACTAAAATATAAATATCTATAGCTATATCAAGTACCCTTAAAACAACCACAAATACTCTAATAGAAAAATAGGGAAAGGCCAGGCACGATGGCTCATGTTTGTAATCTCAGCACTTTGGGTGGCTGAGGCAGAAGGATTGCTTGAGCCCAGGAGTTGAAGACCAGTCTGGGCAACATGGTAAAACCCTATCTATACAAAAATAAAAATAAAAAAATTAGCCAGGCATGGTGGCATGTGTCAGGAGGCTGAGGTGGGAGAATCATTTGAGTCTGGAAGGTCAGGCTGCAGTGAACTATGATGGAGTCACTGCGCTCCAGCCTGGGTGATGGAGTGAAACTCTGTCTCAAAAAAAAAAAAAAGGCTGGACATGGTGGCTCATGCCTGTAATCCCAGCACTTTGGGAGGCCAAGGCGGGCAGATCACAAGGTCAAGAGATCAAGACCATCCTGGCCAACATGGTGAAACCCCACGTCTACTAAAAATACAAAAATTAGCTGGGTATGGTGGTGCACACCTGTAGTCCCAGCTACTCGGGAGGCTGAGGCAGGAGAATTGCTTAAACCCGCAAGGTGAAAGTTGCTGTGAGCCGAGATCGTGCCACTGCACTCCAGCCTGGTGACAGAGCGAGACTCCATCTCAAAAAAAAAAAAAAAGGTAGAATATAGAACTGGGAGTTGCTGAGAGGCAGTAGGCAGTATAGAATAGCAGTGAAGAGCATATAGCCTGGAGCTAGTATGGCTGGGGTTTGAATCAGGGTACTTACCGCTGTGTGCTCTTGGGCAAGTTGGGCCTCAGTTTGGGCCTCAGTTTCTTGTCTGTAAAATAGGGACACTGATAGTACCTACTGCACAGTGATGTGAGAATTAACTGAGTTAATGTATGCAAAGTGGCTTATACTAGGCAGTATATAAATGTTAGTTTTATCATTGAGAACACTTATGTACTGAATGTACAAAAAGTTCAAACTCACAGGCAATAAAAGAAAATACATAACAAAACAAGAACATACTTTGATTTGGGCTTGCCAGATGGGCGTATATTGAAAAGATTGTAGGTCCTCAGTGTTGGCAGAGATCTGGGTGGAAGTTAAATTGATACAGCCTTTTTTGGAAGGCGATGTGTAGATCAAACTATAATTTCTCTTTGGCTCAGCAATTCCACCTCTAGGAATTTATTCTAAGGAAGTAATTTAAGAAATACTGAAAAGTTGGAAGCAACATGAAGTTTCATGGGAAGGTAGCTACTTAGATGCACTGTGCTCCATAACGTGCTCTATCATTATTGGGATCGGCCCCAATAATAATATATTATAAACCCTCAAAAATGATAATATATATGAAATGGACATGGAACTATAGTACAATGAACATTGTACTATAAAGCAATGTACAAAACAGTACAGTGTAAAATGATAGTTTTTGTAAAATGGTAGTATGATGCAATTTTTATTTTTATTTTTATTTATTTATTTTTGAGACAGAGTCTCACTCTGTCACCCAGTCTGGAGGGCAGTGGCACGATCTCAACTCATTGCAGTGTCCCCTCCTGGGTTCAAGCGATTCTCCTGCCTCACCCTCTGAGTAGCTGAAACTGCAGGCATGCACAGTCATGCCCGGCTAAGTTTTGTGTTTTTAGTAGAGACGGGGTTTCACCATGTTGGCCAGGCTGGTCTCAAACTCCTGACTTCAAGTGATCATCCCGCCTCAGCCTCCCAAAGCAATTTTTGTTCTTGAAATAATGGGGAGATTATTGGTGATTTTTAGGTTCTTTATAACTTTTTAAATTTTCTAAATTTTGTACATTGTACAACATTAATTTTATAATTAGAAAAATTGATAAACCTGTTTGAATTTTGAAACTAAGCAAAACAAATGAATTTACTCAAGCCAGCTGGGTGGGTTCCTAGCCTGTAGTAGTGGTTCTCAGACTTGGCTGCATTTTAGAACATCTGGAAACCTCTGGAAAACCCCGAAGCCTGAGTTTCACCCCGAGGGATTTCGATTTAGTCACGGATGAGGCCTCAGATTTTCCGAAAGGATTCTAATGTACAGTCAGGATTGGCCCAGAGGTTGTGGTTGTTGCTTGGAATTGATTTGTGGACACACAGGACATAGAAAACTGTGTGTTTTCTCCATTTGAGCATCTACTTAGGACTTTAAACCACGGTATGCCTTTGGGATGAGATATTATTCAGAATCAGGGCTATTTACGTCATTTGTATGTGGACAAGGCCTGGGCAAATATGCCCTCAGCATTCTCCTGGTGCACTTTAAATGTGGCTTAGGGTCTTTCTTCATTCTCCAGCCCAGGGTGATAACTGTTTTTAGGGGCCTCGACGTCCTTTGAAGATCTGATGGTAATCACCCTCGTTTATTGAGCACTTTCTAAGGGCCAGGTGCTTTGCCAAGAGGTCCATGTGTATCATTTAGTTCTCCACACACCATACAAAGGAGGCTATTAACCTCCCCATTTCTCATGCGAGGAACCTGAGACTCAGAACATTTACGTGGGCCAGGCGTGGTGGCTCACGCATGTAATCCCAGCACTTTGGGAGGCTAAGGCGGGTAGATCACTTGAGGCCAGGAGTTCGAGATCAGACTGGCCAACATGGCGAGACCCCTGTCTCTACTAAAAATACAAAAATTAACTGGGTGTGGTGGTGCACACCTGTCGTCCCAGCTACTCAGGAAACTATGGCAGAAGGATTGCTTGAACCTGGGAGGCAGAGGTCGCAGTGAGCTGAGATGGTGCCACTGTACTCCAGCATGGGTGACAGAGCGAGACAAAAAGAACATTTACAGGTGCAGTGGCTCACGCCTGTAATCCCAGCACTTTGGGAGGCCAAGGCACGTGGATCACCTGAGGTCAGGAGTTCAAGACCAGCCTGGCCAACATGGTGAAACGCCATCTCTACTAAAAATACAAAAATTAGCCAAGCGTGGTGGCTGTAGTCCCAGCTACTTGGGAGACTGAGGCAGAAGAATTGCTTGAACCCAGGACGCAGAGGTTGCAGTGAACCGAGATTGTGCCACCACACTCCAGCCTGGGCAACAAGAGCAAAACTGTGTCTCAAAAAAAAAAAAAAAGAACATGTATATGACCAACCCAAATCATGGCTGGTCTGTGGTGGGGCAGGGATTTAAATTCAGGAGGTCCAGCTCCGGAGCTGGCACTCTTAGCCACCACCTCTAATGGTCTGCTTAGAAAAGTACACACTTCTCTGATGCACCCATCTGCATGTGGCTCCAGAGGTGCGTGGACCCAGGAAGGAGCCATTCTCTGTGCAGGTGCCCTCACCCTTGCTGCAGCCACCGCTCCTCTTATGCCCCAGGCTGCAAGCTAAGCATAGACCGCGCTGTCCCAGCCCTGCCCTCCAAGGGCACCTTTGGCTCTTAGATCAGTGGGTTAATGGAACACTCTGCACATCAAATGCCAGAATTGCATTGTAAGTTCCCCGAGTGGACAGATGGGAAAACAACACGGAACTGGGGCTGGGATGGCTGGGCTCTGCTCCTGGTCTCAGGGACTAGTTTATTCCTCTGCGAAACAGGGTGAATACAGGGTGAATATTTTCTTTCTCTCTCCCTTTCTTTCTTCCTTCCTTCCTTCCTTCCTTCCTTCCTTCCTTCCTTCCTTCCTTCCTTCCTTCCTTCCTTCCTTCCTTCCGTCCTTCCTTCCTTCCTTCCTTCTCTCTCTCTTTCTTTCTTCTTCTCTTCTCTTCTCTTCTTTCGACAGGGTTCAAGCAAACTCTGTCACCCAGGCTGCTGGAATGCAGTGGCACAATCACAGCTCAATGCAACCTGGATCTCCTGAGCTCAAGTGATCCTCCCACTTTAGCATCCCAAGTAGCTGGGACTACAGGCACATGCCACCACACCCATCTATGCTGGTTTCTTTCTTGTATCTCGTTTTTTGCTCAAATGTTAATCCTTCTTATTTATTTCTTAACACATTTTAAACATAGATATTCCTGGCCAGGTGCAGTGACTCACGCCTGTAATCCCAGTGCTTTGGGAAGTGGAGGCAGGAGGCTAGTGTGCATTCAAGATCAGCCTGGGAAGCAGAGTGAGACCCTGTCTATACAAAAAAATAAAAAATAAATTAGCTGGGTATGGTGGTTCACACTTGAAGTGGGAGGATTGCTTGAGTCCAGGAGTTCAAGGCTGCAGTGAGCTATGATCATGCTACTATACTCCAGCCTGGGCAACAGAGCAGACCTTGTCTCAAAACAACAAACAGATATAGATATAGATATAGAACCCATAACCTGAAGTTATGGGTCTTATTGTTTTGTCTGTTGTTTCTGCCAGCTGTTGCTAAACTTACCTTGTTTCTCGTATTATGATTTTTGACTGTGAACTAAATGTTCCTTGGAACTTTACCTGTGGGCATCTTTTTTGTTTTTGTTTTTTTTTGAGATGCAGTCTCACTCTGTCACCCAGGGTGGAGTGCAGTGACATGATCTCAGCTCCCTGCAACCTCTGCCTCCCGCGTTCCAGCGATTCTTCTGCCTCAGCCTCCCAAGTAGCTGGGACAGGCGTGCACCACCATGCCCAGCTAATTTTTGTATTTTTAGTAGAGACGGGGTTTCACCATTTGGTCAGGATGGTCTCGATCTCTTGACCTCGTGATCTGCCCACCTCGGCCTCCCAAAGTGCTGGGATTACAGGCGTGAGCCACTGCACCCGGCCAAGGGAGAATATTTTCAAAGAGAAACTCGAAGGGCCCCATGGTTATATGTACATGCTGTGATCCTGTGAGTCTGCATGTATGGCTCAGGGTCCACCCTGTGATGTTAGCATTTTGCAGGACAGATCATACAGCTTGCTCTGGACATTCAGGGTGTGGGGCTCGACTGAGACCTCAAGGATGGGCCCGTTCACTGCTTCCTGGTCGGGGCTTAGCCCCCACTGGGCCCATGAAGAAGCGAGGCCCCCGCAAGGCCACCCACTGGAGCCAACAAGGAGTGGCTGTCATCTGCTATGTGATTGCCATGTGGGTGCTCAGAGCTGCGGTGGCTTAAGTGGGCGCTGTTCATGAAAGGATGGTGCCCTGCCCCGCTGGGCCTGGTCCTGCAGGACCCTGGATCACAGGCCCACCCACATGGCCTAAAAGGAGGTGGTTGTTTTTATTCTCCTGTGTAGATCCTGGAAAACACCCCTGAAAACCACCCGGACCACAGCCACTTGAAGCACGCTCTGGAGAAGGCAGAGGAGCTCTGTTCCCAGGTGAACGAAGGGGTGCGGGAGAAGGAGAACTCCGACCGGCTGGAGTGGATCCAGGCCCATGTGCAGTGTGAAGGCCTGTCTGAGGTAGCCACCCTTGGGCTGGGCCCCGGTCTCCCCCGGCAGAGCCTCGGC